GTGTGTGTGTGTGTGTGTGTGTGTGTGTGTGTGTGTGAGAGTGAGTGTGTGTGTGTGTACCGAGGCAGTGCACATGCTCCAGAGCTTCACAGCTGGCGTTATAGAGTCTGCGTGGACAGGACACCGTCATGCAGCCGGTGGAGTTCGAGCAGCGGTACTGTGACGGATCCAGCTGCCAACAGAAGCGACAGTCCAGCGTCAGCGTGAAGTTCTGCTGCGGCCGACTCTGCTCGCTCTGAAACACACACAGAGAACAACAGACTGGAAAACATGATTTCCTGACTAATGCATCAAGCATCTGAGCTCTTTATTTTCATTTCTTATTATGAAACAGCCAACAGACTATTTATCAAATCAAAGTGCTTTGAAATGTGGTGATCTTGTTGATTTCATAATTGCACAGATAATATAAAATAACAAATATAAATAACAGATATCCATCAAAAGAGTGAAAGTGTAGAATAACTGTGGTGAGGAATTCAGAATGTGTAGTTCATTTTGCAAATTGAAAAATAAATGTTTAAAAATAAGGCAATAAATAAATAAATATGTAACTCATTTGTATACTGAATACTTGATGTAGTTTAGGGTTATTATAGTTAACTCAAACTAAAAAAAAAAAAAAAATCATTACTTGAAATAAAATAAATGTTAACAATATATTTATATATTTATTTCAGTTAGTTGCCATGGCAACATTTCTCATTTTCATTTAGTTTATTTTAATGTACCAAAATAACTACAAACTACATATACATATTTAAAAACAACAGAAAAGTATATTGAATATTTACTGCAATTCAAGGTTATTATTGTTAAATAAAACTAAAACCATACAAAACTTACCATTACTTGAAATAAATATTAATTGAAATAAAAAGCATAAAACTTAAACTTACTTTATTTAAGCTACAAGGCAGCATTTCTCATTTTAGTTTAGTTTACCTTTATATACTAAATTATTATAATTATTAATTAATTATTAAGTACTAAAATAACAAATAAAATGATTAATATAAAACATACAGACATTTAAAAACAACAAAAACTAATGAAAATGACAAAAACAACAACAAAATCACTAAAACTAATTAAAATGAACATAAAAGTAGAAAATATAAAACAAAATGACAATACTAAAATATCACTGAAATTGTATTAATTTATGAAAATGAGTCATTTTCAGTAACGTACAGTATAAAGGTCTTTGAAGTAATTGTTTTATCTTTGTATGTTTCGTATAGAGTAATTAAGTGATGTTTATTATAACGAAGGGTCATTGAAATAAGCTCAGTTTTCAGTCTGCACCTTTTTCAGTTAATATATAAATAATTATGAAATAGAAATGCGTTTCCATCATAGTTTATGCTCATTTTTTCTTATCGGATAAAAAGTTTTTTTATGCGCATTTTTAGAATTTATGCGCATCTTGGCGTTTCCATCCGTTTTTTTATGCAATATTCCAAAATGCACATAAAAATAGGTGGATAGAAACATGCCATAAATATATTAGCCTACTATTGTTCAGTAGAACGTACTACTAAAATTATGAAAACATTATTTAAGGAATAGTCACAAAACATTTCTTCCATGTTTTACGTTTAATAGTAAATCCCTGTTGTTTGCAAAAAATAAAAAATAAATAAATAATAAAGCAATAAGCCCCAAGAAGCCGTGGTTTACAGCTAAGGGGCGTTGTTAAAAATTAATAAGGCGATTGTAAGAATCAGTTTGAATAAATTAAGTTGTTTTTATGCATTTAAATAATTAGACATGTTAAAACAGAATTGGGTAACAATAAAACATGGTGAGAAAAAAAATAAATAAAATTTCATAGGGCACTAAACATGCCATTTTTGTAAAACTTTTAATAAATTGATGTGAACTTGATTGTAATCAATTAGACATGCTTTTCGATTAATAAAATTTAATTTAACCATTTAAAAAGGAAAAAACGGAATCCAGAAAAATTTAAATGGAAAAAAAACGGATTTACTTTATTTTATTTTTTTTGTTGTTGTGTCGATTTTTGTTTTTTGCTTGTCCTCTTCTCATTTTGTAACTGAGGTAATACATTTTATAAGTCTGTAAAAATTTTATTAAAAAACCTGGAATAAAAATAAAACGGAATTTGGGAAAAAATCTAATGGATTTCATAGGGCCCTAGAACTGTACTGTACTCTATGAACGCACACAGAGGAATTAATAGGGCTGCGAAAATAAATCGATGCATCGCGAATCGAGAAATGATTCTGCATCGATTCTGAGATTTTCGGAATGCATCGTGATTCTCTCTTGAATCGATTCTGAGCTTAGTTTTTAACAGCAGATGGCGCTGCGTGCTTCAGAAACAGCCGTATTCTGCTTGCGTCCGCACCATTTGAACCTAAAATAATCATTCATAAAGTTCGGAAAAGGTTGAAGAGAATTACAAGAGTGTTCACAGTGGGCTGTGTTTACATTAATCTTGCGGCAAGCATAAAAGCCGATGTGCTAGTACATTTAACC